TAATCTCAGGTTGACCTCAGGTTGATTTCAGGTTAATCTCAGGTTGATTTCAGGTTAATCTCAGGTTGATTTCAGGTTAATCTCAGGTTGATTTCAGGTTAATCTCAGGTTGATTTCATGTTAATCTCAGGTTTCCTGCTGTCCCTCCAGGTGCGGAGCCCGACTCTGTGGAAGACGTTTACCTGCAGACGTCGGAGCTGATCAGCTGCGAGTGGTGCAGCGTCCGGAAGCTTCCTGTTCTGTTTTTCCAGACGACCGCGGATGAATGTGTGCGCCTGCGCTCACAGCTCAACATGTCGCAGGAGCAGGGGGGCCAGTGGTATGACTGCACCGCAGAGCGTGAGTCCATACCGCTTCCTGTGTCTGATCCGGGTCAGAACCAGAATGTTGAAACTAAAACTTCACTTTATTCTGTCAGTAACGACTCGTGCTAGTAGAATTAATTCTCTGTTGACATTTCTCATGGTTTCTAGTCTTTTATTTTAGCGCTTAATGTAGCTAGCATCTGAGTTCCTAAGAATCGGAGGAAGATGGATGTGAGGTTTTGTTTCCTCAGACGTAGATGAGAAGTACATCGTGCTGATCTTCGAGAACGGCCTGGTGATGAAGGAGCAGATGATCCTGGAGGACATCCTGACCGTCATCGGCCGCAACAACAGACTCAGCAGCTTCCCCACCAAGCTGACCTTCGACGAGGCCAACATCCGCCTGGTCAACTACAACAAGGCGTCCAGCCAGAAGGTCGACAAGGTGCGTTCACTGACCAACGGAAAATCAGAAACTGGATGACCTTTCCAATCCAAACAGGAAGCTGGCAGAAGCACGGATGATCTGGACTCTCCTCGTTTGATTTACATAGATTTATTAATTGGCTTAATTACGTCATAAGTAACTACATAAATGTACCTATAATGTAAAATGTTCCAAGTTCGGCATGTTAGATTATTTTACTTTAACTTGTTTTATTTGACTTTCGTCAGCTTTTCCCTGTCGGTCTAATTTTTGCTCTGCTGGTCGTTGGGGGACTTTGGTTCTTCTCTCTGTCATCAGGTCTCATTTCTGATCATTAAACTAAACAGCATGAGCTTCTTTTAGGTTAGCATTAGCATTAGCGACGTTAGCTTTGTGTGTAGTTAGAGGTTTTTCTGTTGGGACCGCTCACTGGAATGGATCTGATTTGATCTGGTCCTGGTTCTGTCGGGCCTGTGTGAACCGGACCTTTACTCAGCCTCTGGTTGATGTTGCCCCCCTCCAGGCGAAGCTGGAGCAGCAGCCCCCTAAAGCACCCCCTGCTGGCGGGATGTCGACTCGCACGCGGATGGCGACGCGCCAGCAGAGCAGCGCGTTCTTCGATGAAGACGAGGAAATGACGGACCTGCAGCCGACCTTCTCTGGGCCGGTCATGAAGTGAGTGTCTCTGCCGCCCCCAGCTGGCCGGCTGAGCTAACTGCCGTTAACCTGCCGGCGTCTGCCCCCCAGGCTGATGGTGTACCCCCCGCCTCCAGCCAAAGGCGGGATCTCCGTCACTAACGAAGACCTGCACTGCCTTAACGACGGGGAGTTCCTGAACGACGTCATCATCGACTTTTATTTAAAGTGAGTTTTTATCGTTTCTGCTTCTCCTTACATGTGAACAGATTTAAAACTTCTGGTCATTTCTGTTTCTCTGTCTTTTAGATATTTAGTTTTAGAAAAATTAAAAAAAGAAGACGCACAAAGGATCCACGTGTTCAGCTCGTTTTTCTACAAGCGGCTGAATCAGCGAGAGCGGCGGAGCGGCCCGGACACCGTCAGCCTGCCGTAAGCGCCGCCGCCACCGCGTGTTTCAGGCGTCCAGTCGGTTCCGGTTCTGATCTAAACTCTGATTGGCTCCTCAGGATCCAGAAGAGGAAGCACAACAGGGTGAAGACGTGGACGCGGCACGTGGATCTGTTCCAGAAGGACTTCATCTTTGTTCCCATCAACGAGTCGTAAGTCACCCTGACCCCTAAAATCCTAATTTCTATAAAAACAGGCCTGGAGACCTAACAGTCCGGCACCTGAACCCAGTCTGACTTAATGAAAAAGCCGAAATCCAGGCAGAAATTAATCGATTCATTCAAACTCAACACAGTCAGAAGTAATGAATCAAAATCTATAAAATATATCAAACTTTTTGCATTAAAGATGAAAACTCTGTTCCTCTACTGGCAGGTTTAACCTCATCTGGTTCCAGTTCTGCCAAAGACCTGGCATTGATCATATTTTCTGTTATTATCTGGTTAATAAATGATCAGCAGCTCTAAGCTTCCATCGGCGGTCAGTAAAATGTTTTTCTTCTTTAAAGGAATTAAACTGTTAGTTTTTACAGCATCGTCACCTGGTTCTTCAGCCTCAGTGAACGGAAGCAGCTGGAAGTCTCACCGTTTCCCTCATAAGGTTAAAGGTCAGGTGGATCTGTTTCTCCTCAGGGCCCACTGGTACCTGGCGGTCATATGCTTCCCGGGCCTGCACGGTCCGGTCCTGGAGAAGAATCCCATGTACCTGGACCCGGCCACGGCCTCCGGGTCGCCCGGCCAGCCGCAGGCGGAGGAGAACATCCCGGACCACTGCCGGCCGCTGTCCCCGGACGGCCTGGACTGCTCGTCCGAGGAGCCGTCCCCCGCCGTCCCGGAGGAGGCCGACTGCGACCCGAACGAGGCGGGCCAGAACCCGCTGGGACCGGGCCAGAACCCGCTGGGACCGGACCAGAACCCGCTGGGACCGGACCAGAACCCGCTGGGACCGGACCGGGCCGATGC